TATCTGTTGGTGAAGTAGGTTGGTCCTTAGCTCTATTTAAAGATACTTTGTGGTAAGTAGTATTATTTTCCTCACTTTACTGGTTACAAAACAAAGATGCAAAAGCTGTGTTAGGATTGCCCCATCAGGAAGTGATGGAGGAAAGACTTGATCCGAGTGGTCTTAGCTACCAAGACGTAAGGTCTGGTGAGACCCTCATTTTTGTTTCCATTGATATTTAATGGTACATTTGAAGAAGTTTTGTTAACCTGGGCAGCGCCTGTGGCTCAATGAGTAGGGTGCCGCTGGCCCCATATACTGAGGGTGGCAGGTTCAAACCCAGCCCTGGCCAAACTACAAGAAAAAAATAGCCAGTCATTGTGGCGGGCGCCTATAGTCCGAGCTAGAGAGGCTAAGGCAGGAGACTCACTTGAAAGCCCAGGAGTTGGAGGTTGCTGTGAGCTGTGATGCCATGGCACTCTACCCAGGGGGATAGCTTGAGGCTCCGTCTCAAAAAAAAAAAAAGTTGTTTTGTAAAGGAGATGAGAGCCTTGAAGATGAGCAGCATAAACGGTTGACCCTTCGAAGTTGACACCACCAAGTGAGAGTAAACTACTTGAGAGGTTGCTAAAGTCAGTATCAACATTCTACAGTTGTTTGACATTTGAAGCAAATTGAAAAAGTGGGAAACCTTGAAAAGTGGGTGCCTCTTCAGCTGACCGAAAATCAGAGCAATCATTGTTTTCAAGTGTCGTTGTCTTATTCTACCCAACAATAATGAACCATTTCTTGATTGGATTGTGACATGCTATGAAAAGTGGATTTCATAAGAGTTGGCAGTGACCAGCTCAGTGGTTGGATCAAGAGAAAGCCAAATTTGCAGTTAAAAAAACGGGTTGTGGTCACTGCTGGTCTGCTACTGGTCTGATTTACTACTGGTCTGATTTATTGAATTCCAGCGAAACCATTACATTTGAGATGTCTGCTCAGTAAATCCCTAAGCTGCTCAGAAAACTGCAACACCTGCATTGGTTAACAGAAAGGCCCCAGTTCTTCTCCACGACACTTGCTGATTGCACATCACACAACCAACACTTCAAAAGTTGAATAAATTGAGCTACCTGAAGTTCTGTGTGTTTTTTTTTTTTTTTTTTTTTGCCAGGGCTGGGTTTGAACCTGCCACCTCGGGCCAGCGCCTTACTCCTTTGAACCATGGCGCCGCCCAAGCTACCTGAAGTTTTGCCTCATCTGTTGTGTTCACTTGACCGCTTCCACAACCTGCAGGATAGATTCGGGTTGAATCTCAAAGCAGGGATTTTTACACTACAGGAAGAAACAAACTTACTTCTCACTGGCAATAGTGTGTTGATTGTAATGGTTTCTATTTTGATCAATAGAGATATATTTGAGCCTTATTACAAGGATTTAAAATTCATGGTCTACCACACCTACGTGCATCTTACAAGGGTACATGTGAAGTTTACTGAATGTAGAATGTCTTAACGTAGTAACTAAGAAAATGCGTGAAGGCTATGTTAACCAGTTTGATGAAAACATTTCAAATTGTATATTAAACCAGCACATTGTACCCCATGATTACATTGATGTACACAGCTATGACTTAATTAAAAAAAAAAAATTCATGGTCTAAAACTGCAATTACTTTTGCACAATAGCACATCTGTCACCTTAAACATTTATTATTTTTTTGTGTTGGGAACACTTAAAATCCTCTTTTAGCTATTTGAAAAAAATATAGTAAGTTATATTTTATATATTCTATTTATAGTAGAATCTTTTCATTCAACTTAAACTCATGTGAGCATGGTGGGAGGCTGAGGCAGGTGGTTTGTTTGAGCTTAGGAGTTGGAGACCAGCCTGTCTCTACTAAAAATAGAAAAACTATCCAGTCATGGTGGTGGGCACCTGTGGTCCCAGCCACTCTGGAGGCTGAGATAAGAGGATTGCTTAAGGCCACAAATTTGAGGTTGCTGTGAGCTGTACTGCCACGGTACCCTATCCCCCCCCCCAACCTCCCTAAAACCTTAAGCTCCCTTGAAATAATAGTAAAGAATTCAACTAGTATATTTGAGATTCTTATCAGATTTGCTGGGGCTCTGCAAGCACATAAACATTCCACTTTTTGAGATCAGTTTTGTGCATATGGACTTTTTACATTTTCTGATTTCAGTATGATAATAGAATAAAAATAATCTGTTGAGAGAATAAGAATTTTTGAAAGACCAGTTTTAGTTACAGGAAAATGAGTGTTATTAGTGATCCTGTATATCAGGGGTCCTCAAACTTTTTAACCGAGGGGGGAGGGGTAGTTCACTGTCCCTCAGACCGTTATGGAGGGCCAGACTGCTGGCCCCGGGACAAGTCGGCTGCTAAACAGGACAGGCAGTGGCGGCAAAAACACCTGGCGGGTGGTATAAATGTCCTAGGTGTGCTGCATGTGGCCCACGGGCCATAGTTTGAGGACACCTGCTATATATTATGAGACGAGATTTATATATGTACTGGACCTATCTCATAGATTTTGAAGTGAAACATATTCATAGCTTTTTTTACATTTCAAATTAATATGAGGGCACAAATGTTTAGGTTACCTTGTGTTCAATTGTAAGGTAAAGTTCAAGTTGTAGTTGAGCCCTTCTCCCAGGGGGCATGCTGAACACCCTCACATTGTGCTTATTATGTGAGATCCCACCAGTTGCCTTCCCTACTCTCCCTTCCCATTCCCCTTGCTAGATTATATTTGTATTTTATCATTTGTGTGGGCATGTAGTTGTTTATATGTTGGTTTTATATTAGCGTTGAGTACATTGGATTTATTTTTTCCATTCTCAGTTACTTTACTTAAGATTGTGTTTCAGCTTCTTTATATTCATAGCTTTTAGTTTATTTTTTACAATTTTAAATGTTTTGGTACCTTTTTTCACTAAATGTGGACAAGCTGTTTTTTCCTATGACGACTATTGTGCTTTAGAAAATTCAGAACTGATGATCTGTCATTTTATCAGGCAATTGAGAATAGGCTCCCTACTTCATGTTACTGTATTTCAGCAATTAAAATGATAATAGGGAGGGGGTTTTTGGGGGGGGGGGTTTTGGTTTTTTTGAGACAGTCTCAAGCTGTTGCCCTGGGTAGAGTACTGTGGTGTCACAGCTCACAGTAACCTCAAACTTTTGGGCTTAAGCAATTCTCTTGCCTCAGCCTCTCAAACAGCTGGGACTGCAGGCGCCCACCACAATGCCTGGCTATTTTCTTTTTTTGTTGTTGTAGTTGTCATTGTTGTTTGGCAGGCTGGGTCTGGATTTGAACCCACCAGCTCCTTTGTATGTGGTTGGTACCCTAGCCGCTTGAGCTACAGGCACCAAGCCAGACAATAAGGAGTTTTTGTAACACTAAAGTAAAGACATTAATGTCATGTTTTTCTTTATCTAATAAGCTAATATTAATCTGTGTAATTGTGATCTTTTGTAAGGTTTTCTGTTAACCTTTTAAGTCTTTCATACACAAAGGTCTTCTAAAATAGAAATAATTACATTTTATTTCCCTGATAACTCTTTCCCCAAATGTATACTTTGAAAGGCATTGATATTCTTTATATCGTATCAAGTAATAGTAGTAACAATTTCTAATTTAAAAAAAATTTTTTTTAAGCCTTATGATTCTGCAGATGACTGGTCTGAGCATATTAGCTCTTCTGGGAAAAAATACTACTACAATTGTCGAACAGAAGTTTCACAGTGGGAAAAACCAAAAGAGTGGCTTGAAAGGTATTTGCCTTTAATTTCTCTTATCTTGATTCTATAGGTTAACAGAGCATCAAACATTCATTTCTTTTTATAGTGATACCTATCACTTTCCTTTCTAAGGACAATGGTTGGCCCATTATCTATTTGCTATAATTTGTTTTCTAAAAATATCTAGGAAAAATAGCTGTTCAAAAGGGGCTTGAACAGTTCGCATATTAAATAAAATACTTACTTCTTTATGCATCTTTTATAACTTACGATTGAAATTTATATATTTTTTAGAGCAGTAAGATAATTTCTTTTAAATATCTAGAATTAATATTTCAGAGTTTGAGTTATAGTGTTAGTGATATAAATAATTACAGATAGTGTTGCCATCAGTGAGCAATATTAGTGTTCTGTTTGCTACACTCATTTCCTATACCAGTTAAATTACATTGTGACCATGTTCCATTCTTTTAATTTTCCACTTGTTAATGCATTTGGCCATAGCTGTTATTATGGGAATTCATTCTCTTAATGTAATTTTTATGAGTTTATTTTATTATTTGTAGAGAACAGAGACAAAAAGAAGCAAACAAGATGGCAGTTAATAGCTTCCCAAAAGATAGGGATTACAGAAGAGAGGTGATGCAAGCAACAGCCACTAGTGGGTTTACCAGTGGAAGTAAGTGTTAATTTTTTTCTTTGAAACAGTATAATGTTTAATTTGTTCCTATTCATTACTTTCCAAATCCATCTGCATCATCTATATACATAAGTTAAAATAAGCAGAAATTTATTTAAGAGTTTGTTTTGTGTTGAGTCTTTGTCCCCATCTTTCCGTGTCATTTGCTGAAAAGGGAAAGGATGTCCGGTGGAATAGCGCACATTGTGTATTTCTCACGGCCTGTATGTCTGTAATGGAGTTGAATTGTATACAGTACAATTTCATGGATTGCCTGGTTTTTTGTTTTTGTTTTACAGGGACCTGTTGTGCCCTGTTAAACTGGACACAAAACTCTTTAGGTTTCACTCTAATTGTATCACACAGGTGTACACAGATGGGATGGTTTTTTTTATGATATTGGTGAATAATTTGTTTATCCTTGTATTTTGAAACTTAATTTCACTCTGATCATAGCTCTTTGTAACAACTCTGCATTGAATTTCCACAAAGTTATTAAAATGACTACTAGAAATTTTCTAAGGTGCCTTTAATGTGTAAATCCAGCTATGGGTATATCTTAATGTTCTTTTGGGGCCAAAATTTATGCAAGTGGGGCATCATACATTTGTTTTTAATTCATTCTCTAAATTTAAAGTTTTGCTAAAGGTATTCTATTCCTAGTGGCCTCCTTGCCCAGAATAAAATTTAAATACCACAGAGAGTTTTCTGATTCTTATGATGATATTTTGTGGAAATTCTTAGACTTAAGTGCTTTTTGAGTCTTGCTCTGTAACTCAAAACAAAAAGCAGAGGATGTATTTGGTCTCAGCATGGGATTATTGATTTTTTTTTAATGGAAAAAAATATTGAAGATGAAACTATAACATAGTTCTTCAGGGTCAAATGTTAAATATTATGTTTTTAAATGATCTAGTGAAATTATACTTAATTCTTAGAAACTGATTTAAAGTGTTAAAGTTACGGAATTAAAGGATATTGTATTTTGGGACAGAAGGCTTGGAATTAAGACCCATTTCACTGCCTTAAGTGACTGACTTTTGGCAAAAAATTAAAAAGACAAAAGAAGGTTTTCTTCTTGAAGTAAATAAGTAGCACCCAGTTTGTGGGCCTCCTGAACAAATCATGGGAGGGGGTATGCACAGAAAAATGATAGATATGGATGAAAATAACTTTTTAGTAAATAAAGTTGGAGGTGGCATTGTTGTGTGTCTGCTAACCAGGTTCCTGTAACAGATAACAGGCAGCACTGGATTGGCCCATAACTGGCTGATGGTTCCCAAAGAGGAGAAAGAAGAAAGTCTATCATGTCTACTTTATTCTCTCTAACATAACCTGTTGTTTAAGTTGATTTTCCATTGAAAATGATTGGGGAGGGGGGCAGTTAGAAATTTGATAGAATTTGATAGAACTAAAAAATGGGAAATAAAAATATTTTGTGCTTTTGCATTGTTTTAATCTGTATTATCTTTCAAAGTTCTTTTTAATTTAGTTTTTATGATTTCAAAAGACCAGGCATATTTGTTTAAAAACCTAGAAGAGAGTTAAAAATTTTGATCCCATGACCCAGGAATATTTTGGAACATTTACTTTATGTGCATATAAATGTTTATAGAAATTACATGTGTGCATTTTACACCAAAAATGACATGGCATATTACTGTTTTTAACTTGCCTTTTTGTTCATTAAAATATCATCAGTGTTTCCATGTAAGTTTATAACTCTACATTTGTTATGTTGATTGTAGTGATATAATCCCCTATCTGTGGATACTTGAGTGATTTTCAGTCTTTTCCTTTGGTAAACAAGATTATGATTCACACCTTTTCCATGTGTCTGATTACTACTTAAATTCCTAGATGTGCAAATGATGAGTCAGTGTTAAGTTGAATTGTAGTCTGCATCATACTTTTTTTTTAGTTTTTAAGCAGTGTTTGAGAAGAGATCTTAGCTGTGTTGCCTCTTTTTTGAATGGGTTGAATGAGCTATATTTGGTGGGAGTAACAAAGTCGGAAAGCCATTTAGATGTTTAACTTTGTTTATCCAGAAAATGTTGGCAGATTTTTTTCCCATGTGTGTCGTATATTTGTGTTTGCATAAGGTGATGCTTAAAGCTTGTTCCTAACAACCAATAAAAGCAGTGTAGGCTCTGGGAGAGGGAAAGGTTGGGAAGAGTTTTACACACCAAGGGAGAAAGTAAGAAAATAGATTTTAGTTGAATTTTTGGGGCGCACTGTATTAAGTATTTTCAAAATACTAAGAAACTTCAGCAAATGTTCTTTGTAACTTAATGTTGAAAATTTTGAATTTGCCAACTCCTACTGGATTATTTTTAGTGTCTCTGATCTTTATTCTCTGTTTAGAGAAACCTTACTTGAGAATTCTTAACCGTGGCACTTACATCTTGGGTCAAGTAATTCTTTATTGTGGGAGATTTTCCTGTGTTGTCAATTGTTGAGCATTGGCCTTTTCCCATGTGATGCCAGTTAGCACACCTCCCTTCCAGGCATGACAAGAAAAAAGGTCCCCTGGGAGTGTGTGTAACTAGTAATTGCTTAACTTTGTGCTATCGAGAGTTGCAGCTGTCACTTACTCTGTTCCTGTAATGCTGCTGCCTTTTAAAAAAATTTGGTTACCCTCTTTAATTTTTATCTGAGTACATTTACTTGATACACTTTGACTACAGCCATACAGACCTGAAAGAATTTTCTTGGTTAAGGAAATAATTCTAGGTAATCGAGTGATAGATTTGGGAATGTTTATATCTCTACTTATAAAGATTTCTATGGTAGTATCCCCTTCACAGGACGAGGCTCTGGAATAAATTTAAAGTTTTATGTCCATACAAGTTGATAGTTTACTGATGTGTTAACATCATGTAGCAGCTATTTGTATTGTTGGGTTTTTTTTCTGTTTTTCTAAAGTGTGGTATACTATACAGTTTATAAAACTGTATTTTATATATTAAGTCATTGTCAACAGACCTTGTGTAATAGGACTGAAGTATTTTGGCAGTACCCTGCAACCTTTTGCTGTGGTGTGTGTATATATATATATAATATGTAGTATTTGTTTATTGAGAACTCTAAAACTACTTAATAGTTTGAATATAATTCCTTTTTGCTCTTTAGAATTGAAGGAGCTGTGAATTGGGGGAAAAACACCATATTCAGTAAAGAGGGCATCGTTTTGTAAAATTATTATGAATCATAGGCTTGAATCTTAGGGGATTTCACTACTTGGAAGTTACTTTATAGTTCTTTAGTTACTCATTGGAATACTGTAGTGGTTAGAGCCTTTTATATAAATATAAACTTAAAATGATTATTGAAAATTTTCTTTTGGTACTATTTTGTGGAAGCATACTGCTAGCATATAAATTGTTAAAAGAGTTTAAATTTCGGAGTTTAAAATATTTTTGTGGCTTTAAATTGAAAAAGGATCTGTTATACCTGATAAATATATTATTCTGACTGTGCTGTGAATATAGGATTTCTGTTCTGTGATAGCATTGTGCATCATGATTTTATCACTAATGTTGGTTATTTGTAGGACTATTGAAAATATTATGAATTGGTTTACTTAGTGAGTAGTTCTTCATAAGTTCAACCATTTTAAAATGATTTTATTTCAGTTTTAGCATAAAGTACTTTAGAGCCCACGAATAGCTACCTTAGTATTCAGAAAACTCAGGCTAATAAATCTAGTCTTCCTTTGCAGTTGAACCACTGTGAATAATTCATTCAACTAACAGAATCTATGATTCATATTTTGAAAGAATGGAGCATTTTTTCTATTTTTAAAGCCTTTACAATTTTTTTGAGTAAAATGTTTTCACTCCATATGTTGGACTTTTTTTTTTTTTTTTTTTTAGTTTTGTTTGAACTGCAGGGTGATTCTGAAGAATCCTAAAAAATTTATGCACCGCTGGAAATCTTCAGTATAGATAAGTGTTTATAATTTAGTGAAGATTCCTACCTTTCCAGTATTTATATATTTATATGCCAGTGGTAAAACTGCAGACACTTAACTGGCCTTGCAGTTTTATAAAAAAGATATATAAGTACAAATATGTTGGTAAATTAGCTGATGTTGAAGACAGGATTCTAACGTAATCTTTTTTCTTCCCCCTCCCGTCATTCCAACATCTCTTTTTTCGAACTGTGAACTAAAGTGGAAGACAAGCATTCCAGTGATGCCAGTAGTTTGCTCCCACAGAATATTTTGTCTCAAACAAGCAGACACAATGACAGAGACTACAGACTGCCAAGAGCAGAGACTCACAGTAGCTCTACGCCAGTACAGCACCCCATCAAACCAGTGGTTCATCCAACTGCTACCCCAAGCACTGTTCCTTCTAGTCCATTTACGCTACAGTCTGATCACCAGCCAAAGAAATCATTTGATGCTAATGGAGCATCTACTTTATCAAAACTGCCTACACCCACATCTTCTCTCCCTGCACAGAAAACAGAAAGAAAAGGTATGCCATTATTACTAGATGCTGCACGTTGAACTATAGTGTTTTGTAAGTCTTTTAGAATGTTACTGTGTAGCCTTAAGTCTAGAGTTAGCAGTTTAGCTAACTCTAGCATGCTAACTTTAGCAAGTTAGCATTTAGCTTTTTCTTTTAATCGGCAAGCCTCAGAACTGTTTTTTTGCTTTTGACACTGAAGTCAAGTGCTTAATAGTGATGGTTTACATAACATGTCAGAGTCAAATGACTGTCCCTTCATATTTGTATATATAATTCTCTGCTTTTGTGATAATTGTCTTGATAGTCTAGAAATTGTCTCAATGTGCTCTTAATTAAAATTTCATACAAGTAGAGACATTTTTAAACTTCTATATAAAACACGCAATTTTTGGTTTCACTTTAGATGATAAGAGAACTAAGTTGTGGGCCACAAGATAAGGAGTGCTAATGTCTGAATTGGACCTTAAGTCTAAGGATTAGAAGTTAAACATTGCAACCCAAATTCTGTTTTTCCAGGACAGTGTTAATAATTTATGCTATGTTTGAAAAGTTAAGAGAAAGACTATGAGAACAAGTACTTGGGAAGTAATACACAACGTACACAGTGTGATGAGAAGTATGTTTGCATGGACCATTCACAGTCCCACGCTTCTACTTGACTGTTCGCAATCTCAGAGTTTTACTTGGTAGTATGTTTTAGGAAACTAAAGAAATTATCAGAGGCTGACCCATGTCAGACCATGAGTAAATGATGAGAAAATTTTAAATACAAGTTTAGGAGATGGTGATGAGTCTTCAGGGCTAATCTATTGCTTAAGTTCATTCACATTGACTTTATATATTGATAAAAGGTTCAAATAATTTGATTTCTTTTTCTTCTGGTTTCCTCTTTTCCTTTCATGCATACATGTTTTTCGGATGTTCCTTGTACTACAGCAGTTGTGTTGTGTATCGCTAAACCATATATTTTTACCATGCAGTACATAATAAACAGATTAATGCTTGTTCCAGATGTCAAATTCCTTCATAATAGTTTGTACCAAATTCATATGTACATGTTAAATTTACCCTGTTGCAGAATTAAATTGGCAAAGAGGATTCTTCATAGGTGTGCTGAGAATTAATGTCGTAGTTAATGTATTTTTCCTAGCATGTTTTTGATTTTTAGTTCCTGTAATTTTATTTGACAATTTAGTCACAGAAAATTTTATTTAAAAAGCTCTGGTCAATTTAAAGAAAAATCCTATGGTCTTTTAAAAGTTTCATCATGTTTCACTTGTACATGTAACACTTTTAACTTTTACCTATTTTTTGAAATTTTTTCTTGTAATATTACACTCCTTCGATTTCCTAGTTTTGTTCTCTTCCTGTTCCTTAAATATTAGTATCTTGAAAACTTTTCCCCTGTGGTGTTTTTTTTTTTCCTGGTTATCATGACCTGTTTTCCTCGATAGTGATTCTTTGTGACTGTCAAGACTCCCAGATCTTTAGCTGGAGTTCACACTAACCTCCTCCTGTAAGCTCTTGGTATTTGTTTTATTTCTTCAGATACAGTGTGCCCTACATTTCTCTCTTTTCATACAGTTTATTCTTAATACTCAGTGGTTGACAGTACTGTCCCTTGTTCTCCAACTTTATCATTCACCTGCCCTCTCCCTGACTCCAGACTACTCATTGACACATCTTTGACTCTTCTATCACTCATTTGTTGTATATACTTTCTTTTGTTATTGTCGTTGCCATTGCTGAAAATCAAGACATTGCTCTTGAAGTCACCTTGTGATTACTTTCTTATTTAGTCTATCCACTTATGGTAGCATCCTTAAAAAGTTTAGATTGGACTGTGTCACTTCCTTGCCTAAAAACTTCTCATGGTTTCCCATTATCCAAAGGATCAAGTCTGTATTAATAAGATTATAGCAAGCATTTGGCAGTCTGGTTGCAGTCTGTGTTACTAGCTTGTAGCTTGATCCATAGCCATTTTGATTTTAACTCCCTATGATCTGTCTTTTGCAAACTTGGGACCTTTTTCGGGACACATGTTCTTTCTTCCATTCTTAGCCTTTTGAACTCAGTACTTTTTTGTTAAGACTTAGCTCTAATGTCCTTGGGTTATCACTTAACCTCTCCCAATCTGTTTCCTAAATAAACACTTTGTACTTTTGTCTATTGCAGAAATTACCACATTTTAATTCTGGTTTTTTCTGTTAGTCTATATCCTCCTTAGGGTTAGACATTATGTTTTAATGAATTTTGTACTTTGTTCATCTTCTGCCCTCTCCCTTCATGTTTTATGTGCTATTCCTGACAAACTTAGCATAATTGAAAATTAACTGCATATACCAGGTTTGGTGCTGTATAAACTTTAAAAGAACATTGCCAGGCTTTTAACACATCATGAGTATTAGAGGTATCTTCTCTAGAACTCAGATTCTTCCCCCAAAACCATATGTAATAAAAGACAAGTTGAGTCTTTGTCTATTTGGACAATGCTAATTTAGAATTCCCAATAAACCAGAGGTGATTGAAGTTTAAATTCCACCAAGTGTTTTTGCTCATCACAAGCTTTATATAAAAATGTCATATAGTGACTTTAAACTTATAGGGGAAAACTTGCTTATCTTGGAATTGTCTGTTTATGTAGGGGAAATTGTACAGTCTTTCCTTTGCCTGTTACTTGAAGACAACTTCTTTAAATTGTGTAAAGTTTGTGTTAAATTGTGTTAAATTTGATGCTTCCAGGTTGTTTTCTAGTTAAATTTGTGAATATCCATTAATATGAATTATTTTTGCCCTTGGTAGAGCTATCTATGTTGTTTGAGCTTTTTGTTGATTCTGGTCATTATTGACTCTTCTCATTAACATAGTGATTTCCTTGTTTGGATTCTGCTTAATAATCTATATTGAGGAGTTCGTTTAAATCAGATTGCTCCGTTGGTCTTGAGTGCTAATAGTACAGGTAAACTGTATTTAAAGACAGCAGTGGTAGGATGCTGTGACAAAGGGCAGGGTCTTTGACTTCCGAACCACTGCTCTGTCCTTAGTGCTTGACAAACATTAGGTAGTTCGCTTGTATGTATGTGTTGTGGGTTGGGGACAAGAATGGTGATAAATGTGTTTGATGGTTTGGGAAGCACCTGCATTGGTTATGGTTTTAAAAAGGTATTTGGAGAAAAAGATGAGTGTATGCGTTGTACGTGTAATGAAAGGATGCTAGCAGTAGATTTAGATCTGTTTGTGCTAGTGTGTCACTTGAGAACCTAAACTCAGTTTGTGTGTGTTTGAGGGACAAAAGTGTGAAAAAGTGGCAAAATTCTTCACTTCTGCAGAGAATAACCCTGCCATGTGTTACAGAGGATGAAACAAAAGCCAGGTGCTCCAATTTAGGTCTGTGTTTATTGTGGTAACATTGGGGTAACTTGGTAAGATGACTTGGGAAAACCATGTGACAGAGAAACTCTGATACATTTAAATGTATAAAACTGATTATCAGTTGGTATTCCCGTGACTATTGTAAATTGGGTCTAACTCCATCATTCCTTACAGATTTGTGAAATGACAAAACAGGAGATAATCACTCCTGTTCTTTGCTGTGACTAAGAGCCAGTATCAGAGTATAATGGCCTTAGTCAACAAGCTCCTCATTGAGTAACTTAGAGTTATGATTTATTAGCATAGATAAATTTGAAAGCAGAACAAAGTAGCCACAGAAGCAGTATTTATTGAGTAACTCAAGCTAACTTTTAAGGGTTAGCATGTCTAAATAGTTGGTCACATTAGTTATATGCTGGTTCCATAATGGGAGGAAATAGGAAGATTAGTCATGCTATAATTAATACATAATGTGCGTCAGTCACTCAGAATAAAATTCCTTCTGGGGTATCTGTTGTCATGGTATCTGTAGACTAAGTGACATTTGAATGGACCTAACGACTTCAGTATGTGTTAAGGCTGTTCTTTTATAGCTGACATTTAAAGGTCATTCATTGGTTACAGGAGGCCACATTCAGCACTCTGTAGGATTACTGAATATTGGCCATGGATTTATTCAAATATTTATTGAGTAAGTGTATACAGTGGTGAAGGAATTTATTCTTAACAAATTTAACTAAATTTAGTCAACTTTCAAAGGTGGTATTTTGAACAGTGGGACGGGAGACTGTAATCAAAAGAACATTAGAAATACTGTAACTTTGAGGATATGGAAGACCTTAAGATCTAAAATTATATTAATAGGCAGTTACAGAAGAGAAAATTGCCAAGCCTTGCCTTATTAACTGAAAAATTAAAGAGCTAAAACTCTTTAAAACTCTTAAAACAGAAAATCTTAATGGTGTATTGACACTGATTTCTTGGATATGACAGCAAAAAGCATAGGTGGCAACATTTTAAAATACGGTGGACTTCATTAGTATTGACTTTTCTAAAACCAAAGAAGTAAAAATACAGCTCCTAGAATGAGAGAAAATATATATGCGATAAAGGATTAATATCCAGAATAAAGATAATCTGATTAAGTTGCCAATAGGCACATGAAAAGATGCTTAATATTACTAAAATGGTGCAGCTACTGTTGAATGCAGTTTGGCATTTCCTCAAAAGGTTAAACATAGAATTATCTGTCGGATCTAGCAGATCCATTCCTTTGTATATCCTCCCAAAGAATTTAAAGGGAGGAACTCAGAGTTACTTATGTACCAGTGTCTTAGAAGTTTACAACAGACAAAAATGTTAGGTAGAAACAATCAAGTGTCTATCAACAAATGAAATGACAAAATGTAAGACATATACGTACAATAAAATATTCAGCCTTCAAAAGGAATGAAATTCTATACATGCTACAACATGGATGAACCTTAAGAACCTTCCACTAAGTGAAATAAGCCAGATACTGAAGGACAGATATTGTATGATTCCATGTATATGAGATACTTAGAATGGGCAAATTTATTGAGAATAAAGGTTACCAGGAGCTGTTGAGTGGGAAGGAGGTAGATGGGGGGAGT